TTAATTTGATTGATATTTTAATTTTCTAATTTAATTGCTTATTTATTATTTTACAGATGTTTAAATATTTATTAAAATTCTTTACGTATATTACTTATTTAATATTTAATTTTTTCTTTTAATTTTTTACTATTGCTTAACATAAAATAAGTAATTAAACTAAATTAACAAATAATAAATATTTAGATAAATAATAAAACATTTATATTAAGCATTTCAAAGAAATAATTTTAAATACATAATATGCATTAAAATTAAACAATTCAAATAGTAATTAAATATTAGACAACACAATATAAGAAATTAAAATAAATAGTTAACTTCAATAATTAAAGGAAATAAATAAATAAGTAATTAAAAAAATTGTTTGGGCCTAGATAACGGTCGGCCCAGTCAACTGGGCTGTCCGGGCGCCCAGGCGCCCAATTGACTGGGTGCCCAGGCCATAGTTGACTAGGTCGTCTGGGCGAGTCTGGGCCGTCCTGTTTGCTGTGCCAACTGTCTTCTTCGTGGAGGTCGCCGGAAAACTCATTTTCTGGCGATCTCCACTCCATTTTTCCCCTCCCAAATTATTATTCTTACCAAAAAATCATGCATTTTTCCAAAAATTTATCTAAAAGCATGGTTTTTCCCCCCAAAAATCAACATAAAAACATTAAATATGGGTCGCATATTTTTCCTTTTTTGTCGATGCTACAGTAATTTTTCTATTTCCTTCCTATTTTCTATCTCTTCTTTAAATGGTAAGAATAAATTTGAATTTCTCTTGCTTTTCAATATTTTAAACATTTTCGCTTTTTTTTTAATTGATCAGAGAACTCTCGAAAAATTGGCCGGGTCAACCGGCCAATGACCACTATTTCCTCATGGAATACTAGTTTCCACTTCCACATAACAATGGCTTCCGTGACACGTGTCCTTTTTCCCAATCTAATTTCAATTGCCACCTGTACACACTCCATTAGTAGACTTCCGGAATTCTCTGCCATTTTCGGTTTAAAACCCAAAACATTGAGGAGATTTTCGGTGGTCGCAATGGCTGATTTGAACAAAAGCACTGTTCTTGTTACAGGAGCTCGTGGCAGAACTGGTAAATAGACCTTATAAATTTTCTCTGTATGTTCTAGTGAAAATCTTTACATAATCTGTATATTTGGTATATAATTGGATCCACGTTTGAATTATGAGTTTTGATTTTCTTTTATTTGGATGTAGTTATTTCTTAGGGCTTCGGTTTTTATTGTATATTTGGAAAATTAGTGTTATATTTTATCAAGGAGAGTAGAACACTGGAGAGATTAAAATAATTGCAGATATTAGATGATCAGTTAATACTGTTAATTATTCCGAGACAATTACTGAATGATTTGACAAATATTTATGTTTGTCATCTGGATTACTAGACAAGTTAGCTAACTAGGAGCATACTTGAATTGATTCATCAATTAATTTAGCCATACTAAGGTTATATAAGAACGACCTTGAAAGAAATCTACTTTTCTTACATATAGTTCAACTGTTCTGGGATCATTGATTCACTATCCATACGAAATCTGTGTAATCTTCAATTAAATTAGACAAAGGAAAAACTTATATATACTAACTGGTTTCTACATAATCCAGTTGGCTAAATTTTTTAATAAGCCCACTGAAGCATTCTCCTTGTTTTGGTAACCAGATTGTCATTTGACATTATATGAATTTGAATTGCAGATAAGGCCTACCTCAAACGGCTAAGTTAGATGCTGGGACTACAAGTGTGGTTTAATGAAACCACATGACTTTTATATGTTGGATTTTTGTTCCATTACCTGTATATATTTTAAAGTTCATACTTGGTCTGAGATATTTATTAAGAGAATGATTGTCCAGAGAACTGCTTATAATTTGTAATCTTTCATTTGTTCTCTGTTAGTGCTTGCTTTCCAGTTTCCCATGGACATAAATCTGTTAATCTAACCACTTAGATATTGTCTGTACATATTTTTGTTTTTTACTCTTTTCTATTTCCTTATTATTTGTTAGTGAGTGACTTAATTCCCTTCCCTAAAAATTGCAGAGTTTAATTTACTGGAGTCTGAGACTAACAATGTCTATGACTATTAGATGCTCATATATGTTATCTTTGGAGTTATTATGACTCAATAGATAGTTCTGAAACTCCAGTGTTACATTTCTTGATAGATTTAGAGTTATTTGGAATTAAAACATGCAAAATTCTTATACATTTCTTGATCACTGCAGGACAAATTGTTTATAAGAAACTGAAGGAGAGGTTGGAGCAATATTCTGGTAGAGGATTGGTAAGAACACAGGAGAGCAAGGAAAAAAATTGGTGGAGCAGATGACGTTTACGTTGGGAATATAAGGACAGCAGAGAGCATTGCTCCAGCAATCCAAGGTATTGATGCTCTCATAATTCTGACAAGTAAGGTGCCAAAGATGAAACCCGGGTTTGACCCAGCGAAAGGTGGCAGACCTAAATTTTATTTTGAAGATGGAACATACCCTGAACAGGTATCTATTATTGCTATTATTGAACGCATTGTATTTTGATATCATTGTGCCGGATCTATATGATTTTAGCTTTTCTTGTTTAGGTTGACTGGATTGGGCAAAAGAATCATGCAGGTGAGAACTTAATTTGTGTACAGTTTCTAATAGCTTTTCTTTTGGACCATTGTATTAAAATTTGTAACTTACGTATTGTACAGCTAAAGCTGCTGGAGTGAAACAAATTGTGTTGGTTGGATCAATGGGAGGAACAGATGCAAACCATCCCCTAAATAGCTTGGGAAATGGCAACATATTGGTATTTGCCTATATTGCCTATATTGCCTTTTATTTTTTCCCTTACCTTTGATGTTACCTTTTCCTTTGTGACATGGAGTTGTGGTTGGATCCCTTCATTTCGATTGTTCCACTTAATTTTTTACTCTCTGTGTTTTTTTATTTCTTCCTTGTCCAATCTTCTCGTGGTTGTTCACACACGCTGCTGTTGCTAGATAATTTTTGAATTGCATCTCATGCACATCAATTTATTTATTTATTTTTTTAAACATATCCCCTTAAAAAAATAAAAAAATTGTTCCCACGATAGTTGAAACTTGAAAGGAAAAAAGGGAAAAAAAACCTTATTTTCTCAGAATCATTATTCAAGTACATTTTAGATGTAAGTAAAAACTCCAGTGTAAAACTATGAGCAGAAAATGTCACTATAAGGGCCAGTTTTTATATCACTACTTTGCATTTTCATAAATTTTTCACTAAATATTAATTAATATTCTGAGTACAGGGATGGAAGAGAAAGGCGGAACAATATTTGGCTGACTCTGGAATTCTATACACCATTATTAGGTATTCCCATAAGTTTACCTCTAAGCGCAGTAAAGATTATACTCGTCTCATGTTTCTGTATTCAAAAATTAAATGCAAGTAATTACGAGGATATTTTATTGCACTGGCTTTATAAATTTAGGATGCATAGTAGTTTATTTTCCATTAATATGCTGCAAACCCAGGAACTTGGATGGAACCATCATAGCAATTACCAGGCAGGAAATAATACGTGCACAGGTGTATGCAACCATTATTAATTTTTCTAACAAGATATGATCTATTAACGAGTAATGTG